TCTCCAGGCGGCACGTATAGGTAGACATCTTCCCGGCACGGGAAGGAAGCGGGGCTGGTGGCTCCCCGCGAGCACCTACCTGGTGGTTCGTCCCGCCTTTGAAGCAGCTCCGAGCCGGAGCGCGTCTCCCCGGGCTGCGTGCGGAGGGCGCGGAAGTTGGGATTCCGGCGCAGCGCTCCGTGCCCTTCAGATCCGGACCCGGCCGCTGCCGCCGGGCTTTGCGCTTCGGGCTCAATGAGCCGAATCCTAGCAGCCCCTTCCCGCCGTCCCTCCCTCCGCTCCCGGACGCCATTGTCACACCCTCCCCGAGTAACGTGAGGGGGTCTTCGCCCTGCCTCTGAATCTTGCCCAACTCTCATAGGAAATGGTGCCAAGACAAAATGAATGTGTAGTGACAGCACGAGGGAGTCGTGAGAGGGGGCCTGAGTGATTCAGCTGGGTTTCCTCCCGAGGAACCGGGCATTTCTAAAGAAAACCAGCTCGCTAGCAACTAGTTGTAAGCCTCTCACCCAGCGGTTCTCAACCTGTGGGTCGCGACCCCTTTGGGGGGGGGGGGGTCGAACGACCCTTTCACACGGGTCGCCTAAGACCATCGGAAAACACATATATAATGACATTGTTTTTGTGATTATTCACTATGCTTTAATTACGTTCAATTTGTAACAATGAAATTGGGGGTCACCACAACATGAGGAACTGTATTAAAGGGTCGCGGCATGAGGAAGGTTGAGAACCACTGCAACCCAAGCAAAAAAAAAAAAGTATGGTTAATATTGAATGTGGTGTGATCTCAGCGTTTGAGTCTTCCTAAATGATCTTTTGATCTTTGATATCATGCCACAAAGTGTTCTGCCAAATTGATATAAAAGAGGACTGGTATCACCCTTTTGTGGACACTTGTAAGTTACTTTGTAGTAGAAAGGTCACCTATGAACACACTGGCGTTTTTGTTTGAGGTGGACTTTGACTCATTTTGATAGAGATAACTTTTAAACAATGAGTAGTTGAAGTGCCAGAGTTGGGAATTATATTTAAAAATGTAGAATGTTTTCATGTCCAAGTTGGGTGACTGCCAACACCCAAGGTGCAGCAGAAGCTACTAAGGTGGAGGATTGGGGAACAATGAGAGTGGTCCCCTCCCCGCATAAGGGAATTCATTTTCTGTAGAGAATTGAAAAACAGGGATAAAACAGTGTATGTGCTCTTTATGATTACCGTGTACCTACCGTTCTAAATAGTGTCAGTGAGAATACTCCCTCTCTCGTGCCCCCTCTTCACACCATCACTATGTTTAGGGGATGGTAGTATTTGACTGACAATATAACTGAATCCAGTCCCGTGTAGTGTACCTGGTTTCTGTTGCACCCACATGACCATTTCAGTATTTATTAGTAAAATTAACTAAAGGATTTAGCAGTTGCTAAATTAGTTTTGACAGGGAAATTACCAATATGATTTTGGGTTATGTCACATCCTGCATAGGTAATAGTGTGCTCACGTGCGCATTTTTCAGATAAGATTCCGAAATCTTTAGAGAGCAAATTAAGTGATAAAAGAAATATTTGAAAAATTATACTCTTCATAGAATCAATTCTCATATGTCCTTGTGTTTGCATTATTTGATACATAATTTAATTTATATGCCTGCCCTTTTGTTACTCTGCATAAATCAGTACTGGATCCTATCTTTTGGCTGTTTTTATATATTAGGTGTTATAAACTAATTTTTACATTACCATATTTTGGATGATAAACCTGCTATTTGGCGAGATAATGCAGAGAAAGAGATAATATGTTTTCCCATATGAAATATTAATAATTATACCCCATTTTTGCAGATAATTAAGTTAATGACATTTAAAAAAGTGTTTCTTTTAAATAGATGGGTTTATAATGTAAGATTTTTTGCTAATATTGCACTAATTTCTTTCTGTTGATATGTCTTCATAGATTACACACACTCTGCTTGCAGGAATACTTATCAGGGTTTTAATGGTAAGTATCCATTTTCATTTGCTGTTAAATATGTTAGGGGATACATTTCAGTTTCTCTCTTCATGCATTTAAAGTACTAAAGTAAAAAGCCAGTTCTACCTTGTTTTAATTGGTGTTTTTTTTGCCTCTTGATATATCACTTCTTAGAATTAATGTTGTCCTACTATAGTTAGTATTTGAATTAGGGAATTTGGGATCAGGAAAAGTTAGGGCTATTCATATTAGCTTGACTCTTTTTTTTTTTTTTGAATAATGATTGCTTTAATTTATTTCAAAAGGCTCTGACTGCATTTTTAGTGATAAGTTACAAGAAACTGGCTGAGATATTTTTGTTGAATTAGAGGCTTTGCTATTGAGTAATGTAGATTACATGGATTATTGGCCTGGTTCTGTAGATTACATGGATTATTGGCCTGGTTCTGTATTGCTTCTGTTTGACCTTGTTTTTTGAGGTCATTTTCTTTAATATATTCAAATATGTTAGTGTTTAAGGAGCTGTTTAGAGGGGCACATGAAGAAGCCTGATAACTTATTAACATAAGCATGATGTTGGTGTTGTGACTACATAGTTAGGTAAAATCTAGAGAGGTATGCAGAATACAATTGGATGCCATTTTGATAGTTATTAAGCAGGATGATACCACACAAAAAAGAACATGGAACAAATTAAAGAGATTAAAAAATATGTTTTTTATTGATTTTAGAGAGAGAGGAAGGGAGAGTGAGAGAGAGCAACATCAGTGTGAGAGAAACATCCTTTAGTTGCTTCCTGCACACACCCTGACTGGGGATTGAGCCTGTAACCCAGGCATGTGCCCTGACCTTAAATTGAACCGGCAACCTTTCGGTGCACAGGATGATGCTCAGCCAACTGAGCCACACCGGCCAGGCCACAAATCAAATATATTTTAAAAAGCATTGCACGAAGGACCCCAGGTAGTGGAATTAAAATTCTGATTGCAGAGAAATGCTAAATTCAATTGTTGTACAAAATATAATAGATTCACAAAATAAAACTGAAGCAAATGTACTACTAAATAAAGAAATGATTCCGTTTTATGGGGATAATTACAGTCCAGTTAATTTTAATTTATCATCTCTAAGAATTTAGAGAAACTTTGGGTTTGATGTGGCCTAATAAGGCTTAATATATAGGAAGTATTCAATATACAGGATTGGCAAAAGAAGGTTTATAGTTGTGAGTATGCAAAAGTTCATTCTTGTATTATTACTTATAATTGTTTAATTTGCATCCATATGTAGGTTAGACTTAAAATTGGAAAATTATCTAGAAAACCATTTCATAAATTTAGGTATAAGAATTTTACGATCTTGAACTTGGGAAGTGAAAATAGTAATTTAAAAAATATTAAGAAAAAAAATTAAGACATTTTTAGAGAAAATTAGCAGAGCTTGCAGGCTGACTAGTAATGTGTAGAAAATTGAGAGGCATGAATAAAAAATGAATCCAGGATTTTAAACTGAAGTGATAGGACTAGTGTTTTTACTGAAGAAAGTGATTTGGAAGGATAAAAGGCCATGATTTCTAGTAAGATTATTAGAGAGTTGGATTTAATGTCAAAATACAGGATTTTGAAATTCAGGGCCAGACATTTTATTTTCTTGATATACAGTGTTATAAAAAGAGCTTTAGAAATTTCTATCACCGATGTTAGTACTTTTATTTTTTAAATTTTAGCTCCAACAGCGGTTCTTATTTGAGGGTGATCGTTAGACTCCCCTGGGGAGCTCTTTCCAGGTATATCTGTTCAGGTCATACCCTAGTCCTCTTGAATCTTAACTATAGGGCAAGTGGTCCCTGGCTGTGTATGTTATGAAAAAAGTACTTTGAATGATTTTGGAATGTAACTCTGATTAAAGATTACTTTGAGGTCTGGGTTATCTACATTTTGTAAATGAAGACATCAATTTCAAAGATACAGTTTGATTTCATTCAGTGTTTTTGGAGTAACTGCTGTGTATCAGTTACTGTTCAAGGAGCTGACAATATACTAGTAGTGAAAAAAATGGACAAATACTCCTGCCCTTGTGGAGTTTACAGTCTAGTAAGATGAAATGGACAGTAAACATGGCAAAGAAGTAATATATGTAAGATGGCAGTTGCTAGAGAGAAAAATAATGCAGGTGGGGTCCCTTGGCCTGGCCAGCGATCGGAGACTATGGGGGGGGCAGCTGGCTGGGGGAGGGGCCGCGAGAGGTTGGCTGTCCAGGCCCCCCCCCATTGGGGCCAATGGGGGGAGGGACCGTGAGAGGTTGGCCAGTTCGGGGGGGGGGGGGGGGGGACGGACGACGGGGACCGCGGGAGGTTGGCTGGCTGCCCCCCCACCCTCATCGGGGCCGATCTGGGTGGCTGGCCAGGGGGAGGGACTACAGGGGGTTGGCCAGCCTGGGGGAGAGACTTCAGGAGTTTGGCCAGCCAGGGGGAGGGACCATGGGAGGTTGCCCAGCCGCAGGAGGTTGGCTGTGGGAGCGCACTGACCACCAGGGGGCAGCTCCTGCATTGAGCGTCTGCCCCCTGGTGGTCAGTGTGCATCATAACGACCCGTCTTTCCGCTGTTCGGTTTATTTGCATATTAGGGTTTTATTATATAAGATAAAACCTTAGAGAAGAGCATTTTATTTTGAAAACTTAATCTCAAAATTATCCTGTATATATGATGTATGAGTATAAAATCATTGTATGCTCACCAACTCTAAAGATAAACAATTGACTATTTTATTAGTCTAGAACTATGTTGTCTAATATGGCCATGTGTGACTGACTATTGAATACTTGCAATGTGGCTAGTATGAATTATATTGTGCTATAAATGTAAATTACACACCCAACTTGAAATTGTGGTATAAAAATCTAAAATACGTCAATACATTTTGTATATTGATTAACTTTTTGTACTCTATTACATTGAAGTTTATTGGTATGTCTTGTACTCTTGCTGGATTTTTTTACTATGTATGATCCTGTAATATCAGGGATTAGATTGGGAAAATATTGGTTTACTAAGTTATTCAGATTTTCTGAATATATATTGACAGATTTTATTGTACAATATAAAAAAGTCATTAATACTGCTACCAGTTTTTATCAGAAAAACATTTAAATATTGAGAAGCTGTCAAACTCAAGGTGGTAGGTAAAGTTTTATAAAATTTTAATTTTTGCTTGAATTTTATCATTGGCAACAAATATTTTCACTTACTTTCCTTGAAGTGACAGTTTTACTTTGTTCATTTTTGAGAAAATTCCTGCCAAATGACCTTACCGAAAGCCAGTTTTTGAATGTCAGTCTTTCTCTCTAGTAAGAAAGGTATTCCTTAAATAATATTCCTTGTAAAATGTGGTTAATTCAGCTCACAAAACATTCACAGAATGGCTTTTCCTGGAGAGAACTGTGGGACTTTGATATGTAGCAAAACTGCTTTAGGTGCTATGCATACTTCCCATTTTACTACACAGAATATCATCCTCTATAATCCTATATAATAAAGAGATAATATGCAAGTTGACTGTCATACCCTTGCACAAGATGGCCGCCCCCATGTGGTCACAAGATGGCCGGCAGGGGAGGGTAGTTAGGGGTGACCCAGCCAGCAGGGGAGGGCAGTTGGGGGGACCAGGCCTGCAGGGGAGGCCAGTTGGGGGACCAGGCCTGCAGGGGAGGACAGTTGGGGGGACCAGGCCTGCAGGGGAGGGCAGTTGGGGGGGGACCAGGCTTGCAGGGGAGGGCAGTTGGGGGGACCAGGCCTGCAGGGGAGGGCAGTGGGGGTGACCAGGCCTGCAGGGGAGGGCAGTTGGGGGCAACCAGGCTTGCAGGGGAGGGCAGTTGGGACCAGGCCTGCCTGCAGGGGAGGGCAGTTGGGGGGGACCAGGCCTGCAGGGGAGGGCAGTTAGGGGCGATCGGGCTGGCAGGGAGGTCAGTTAGGGGTGACCGGGCCGGCAGGGGAGGGCAGTTAGGGGCGACTGGGCTGGCAGGGGAGGGCAGTTGGGGCGATCAGGCCAGTAGGGGAGCAGTTAGGCGTCGATCAGGCTGGCAGGGGAGTGGTTAGGGGGTGATCAGGCAGGCAGGTAGGCTAACGGTTGGGAGCCAGCAGTCCCGGATTATGAGAGGGATGTCATATTGGAGAGGGTGCAGGCTGGGCTGAGGGATACCCCCCTCCAGTCCACGAATTTCGTGCACCGGGCCTCTAGTGATTTAATAAAACTAATCATTCTAGTGCTTCATCAGGGACATTCTTAAGTGTAGGTGGCATTTTTATTTTATTATTTTTACTATAAGTGTGTAGTATTGAAGAATACAGCAATTCTTAATACAGTTCGGTGCCACTGCCTTGATTTATATGCTACGAGACCAGCAGTTTTACCCATCACTGCTTTTGCATTCTTTAGTGCAACTGTCAACCCTGCTCAGAAGGCAAATAATGTCTTAGTATTATTTATGAAAATAGTTTAACCTTGTGGACCCTCTGAAAGGGTCTTGGCAACCTCCAGTGGTCAACACACTATTCCTTGAGAACTATTGCTCAAGAGTATATAAAAAATTACTAAAAGTCAGACCCTGCACAAGACTAGTGTACATTTAAGATGAGGTCACAAATAGAATATAAGGTAGAGTATAATGAGCACCAGATAAGAGCTACAGACTTGTAGATATTCAGAAGAAAGATGATAATCAGCTGAGGCTATATCAATAGGATTGGTATTTGAAATGGACTTTAAAAGATTTCAACAAACAGATACTTGGGGTAGTAGAGGAGAGTGTTTCTTTCAGGTAGAAGCAGCAGCACGAAGCTAGAGGGGTAGATACTTATGGGACTTCGGGAAAATTATTTCATGTCTTTGGACTTCAGTTTCTAATCTATAAAACAAGGAGATGGAATTTGATCATTTAGTTCACTTCCAGATTTAAAGTTGCAAGATTTCAAGTAGTATTTTTGTAAAGTTTTGCTGTCAGCGTTGTTGTTTGGAACGGAAATATTTAAATGATTGTAATTAAAATGTATTTAATGTTTTAAAAAATATAAATTAAGATATTTGCTTTGTATTTTTGCATAAAATTTGTGTATACTATTGCATTTATTAGTGCATAAAATTTATAGGAAACATTCTAAATGATTTTTAAATTTTTTCCTTTTTATAATAAATTCATTTTATTATCTGTTGTATTTGTTTTTTATGTCGGAGACTGAAATAGAGGTAGAATTGCAGTGTAATAAGATATATTTAGTGCTCTTACTGTATGTATTAGACATTGTTTTTAGTGTGTGCATTACTAGAATTCACATTAATTCCCTTATTCAAAGTATTTGAGGAATTAAATATTCGTTGAATCATTATTTACAGGCCCAGTACCACAAATTGGCCCCACTCTGATTTTTACTTTTTAAAAATAGCTAGTTCAATTACTTTTTTGAAGTAATTGAAATTCGGCTAATTGAAAATATGGTGGGTTTTCTAGACATTTAGAGAACAGATTGATGAAGAAAAATATATTTACAACAAAAATTTTCTCTTTCGACATTAAATGCTGATTTTTCTTGTAATTTTTAATTATTAATTATATACTCTGTAGTATCTAATACCAGGCCTTATAGGAGTTCTCTAGTCAAATAAATATTGGTTAAATTGAAAGTAATTCTAATATAGAAGTTTTTAGTTGCAGTTTTTCTTTGAAACATTAGGTTTCTATAGGAAATCTGAATTTTCAGTAAATTGTCATCTCTGTGTTTTTTTTCATTGTCTAGTGTGACTGTGGTTTAAATGTTGTTGATGAACTATTTTCTCAGATGATTAATATGAATATCTTGTGTTTTATGCAAAGATTCCTGAATAGAATGGTATATTTTACCAACCTTTTGTTACTGATTCTTTTAGGAATGGATCGAGATTATGGCCCTGGATCTTATGGAGGTCTGGCATTCAAGGATATTTATCTAAAAATTCTTCTTTTGGGTGCCAGTAAAGGTGAGCATCATTTAATTTTTTTCTTTTTAAACCCTTTATAGGGATGGATCGTGACTATGGCCATGGATCCTATGGGGGTCAAAGATCCATGGACTCCTACCTAAACCAGTCATATGGCATGGACAATCACAGTGGTGGTGGTGGGGGTAGCAGGTAAATTGCTTAATCACTTAGCCAAATAATTAGAAGATTATAAGATTCTGGATATTTTAATTTAAGAATTCCTTAGGCACGTTATGATACTTGAACTTCACTATTTGATACTGAATAATCACCTTAAATGTTTAAAGGTGTTAACTAATGGTTATAAAAATTATTTCAAAATCACTGGCAGACATTTTTTTAAGAACCTCAGATAACTATTACCATTTCAATACATAAATCATTAAAGATTTTTCTGTTTTTAGCAGTGAATATTTCTTTTACTTTTAATTCTTAATCAGAATGTCCTGAATAAATGGTGTAAAATGTTACTTGAAATATTATATAGGAAGCTTTTTCTTAATGATTTAAAAAAAATCTTTCCTAATGTGGGGTGCTGTTAAAAGCAGCAAAACAGTCTTTGACTAGAATGGGTTTAACTGAACTAGCCTAGCCATGTTCAATTTCTAAGAAACATTTAAGATAGCTATTCTTTTAACTCTAAATTTAACTCTAAAGTAAGCTGTAAGAGTATATTATAACAGTAAAAAGTTCTTTATATCATATCTAGGGTACTTATTGGCAGGTACTACTGAAACCAAAAACCACTTGTGCTCTAGGCTAGGAGCATTGTATTAAAACCACGAATACTATACCTTTTGCTTATTTTAATGCACTAGAGTTCAGAATGTATTTATATTTTGCTGTTGATACTGTGGAAAGCATAAACCTAGTTGAGCTACTATAGGCTTTAAAGTTGACCTTATTTCAGACAAAGGGAGTTCACTTTTTGAGACACAAAGATTCCTACCAAATAGTAAAATTAGTTAGAGAACATTTAAAACTATCGTCCTTCTTCATAAATTGAAGGATCCAGATTCCTTAAGGATGGACTGAATCTTGCTTACTTTCTTCTTTCTGTTTCAAGTGTGCCACTATGGTTGATAGTAGAGGAACAGTTATGTTCAAGAAAATGACAATTTTGCTTATAAGATAGATGCTTTGAAAAATGTAGTTGGAAAGGGGAATACTTTTTATATGGTTACTAGGATTTAGAAGTAAATAGTTCCTTCTATTTATTTAGTTATCTGTAAATAAAGTAATGTAACACATTTAAATGTTTTAATATATCAATTATTGCCTGTTACATTGTAAATGTAATGCATATAAATTATGTAGATGTTATTGTTTATCTCGTGTAATTGTGGGCCTTTATAAAATTGTGTTGTAAAGTGTCAAGCATACTTTGGATTTGTGAGAAGTAAGATGATTCATTTCTTCTGTTGATTCTATTAAAACCTTGAGATTGTGTGCTCCTTTTTTTAGCATAGTTTTATGTGATAATTCCCTACCAGGAAATAATTTTTCAAATAATTGATGATGTTATAAAATGTATTCTTTCTCATCTGCCTTGAAAATTCATATGCAGAGGGTATATGCTGGTGGTCATTTACTTTTATGTCCTACTTTATGTGCTTATCCTTCTAGATTTGTTAGATTTACTAGTCTATAAGTGAAAAGTGACTGAGGATTGATTATTGACCTTAGCCAAAGTTTGGCAGATTGTCAAATTTTATAACCAGAGATTTTTCTCCAAATTTGAACTACTATAAATATAATGAAGCTGTTTTGTGATATAGATTATTGAGGGTGCAAAAGGATCTCTTCTGTGTCATAATAGCCTGTATCTGTGTAGTCTTCAATTTGTGTCCCTATTGAAAGCCTAAATACTGTAAATATTTTGTTTTTTTTCCAATATTGAGGATGGATTTAAAGAAAGTTTGAGTAGTTTGTGAAATTTAGCAAATGACTTTTTCTAAGACTAGGGCTGGGCTAAAATAATTACAGATAAATCTTTTCATTTTTAATAAAATAGAAAAGCTGCTAAAAAGCAGATTTTTAAGCTAAGCTTTACTTAACTCAATTCATATTTAAAAACTGACTCAGGTAGCTTTCTATCTGGTCTCATGTTGAATTGCCCAGCCCTAATCAAGCTTGAACAAAAGTAGAACTGTGCAAACCAGTATGGTATAAATGAATTTTAGTTGATAAATGTCATCTGATAATTTGTCTTTTGAATTGTCTAACATTAGTAAGCTTACTTTTGTTTTTTCCCTCACTGTGCAATTTTTCCAGGTTTGGACCTTATGAGTCTTACGACTCCAGGTCTTCTCTGGGTGGGCGAGATCTGTACAGATCTGGCTATGGTTTTAATGAACCCGAACAAAGCCGCTTCGGAGGTAGTTATGGTGGTCGATTTGAGAGCTCCTACCGGAATAGCCTTGACTCTTTCGGAGGTAGAAACCAGGGCGGGTCTAGCTGGGAAGCACCTTACTCCCGTTCAAAATTGAGGCCTGGGTTTATGGAGGACAGAGGAAGAGAGAATTACTCTTCCTACAGCAGTTTTTCTTCACCCCATATGAAGCCTGCACCTGTAGGCTCTCGGGGGAGAGGAACGCCTGCTTATCCTGAAAGTACGTTTGGAAGCAGAAACTATGATGCTTTTGGAGGACCATCAACAGGCAGAGGCCGAGGCCGAGGAGTAAGTACAACAGAATCTTTTCAGATTCTTTTCACTAGTCACTCTTTTAAACCCTTTCAAGACCGTGGTTTTCAACTAGAATAAACACTGTTCATCCCAGTGTATTCTGAAGCAAAAGCTGAGTCATAAGCATACTTTTTAGGTTGTCTGTAAAACTTTCTCCAGCACCTCAGAAAATAAGTGACAGTGTGAGATGATTGTTCATAAAGTTTTGCCAAATCTCCCTTTATTAAAAAGGTGAGGATGTTAGATTTGGTCTAAAAGGGGTTAAAAGGAGTTGCATTTTTCCTTGTAAACACCAGCAGTTTTGCTAGTGGGACAGTTCTTGGATTATTGTAAAAGGTAACAACCCTTTTGGAGTTTTTTGAGTAGGTTAAAGGTGCAATGTATGATAAAATGTTTATACTTTGCTACTAAACTATTTCTTCAAAGCTCCATATTTCACATTAAACATAAGAGATCAAAAGTTGGTGATAGTTGAGGGTAGCTTAGCTTTGTTTACATGGTGAAGAAGTTGATATGTAAAATAGGTTGTAGAATGATTTGTGGTCAGTATAATTTTGCTAATTCACTCTTAAAGCATGTCCTATTGCTGGGTATAATACTTTCTCTGTCATCAGTTTTAATATTGAAAAATAATTTCCTACCTGTATATGTTTATGGCTCCTTAGGAAGTAATATTTTGTAAATTCTTGCTTAAATGAGCAGATAAAGTAGTCTTCAAGTGTTTAATTTCAGGATATACAGTGTTAATTTTAAGATTATGCCTATGTTCTTAGGGAACTTGACTAACATGAAATTTTACCTAGTAAGTGTATGTAGATTACGGAGTTATTATTTAGTTTGGTCATATAAAGAATACTATATTTTTGCTATAATGTAAGAAATGTTTTTTATTTTTTATTTTTTGAGTCAGTGGCTCTTAATCTCTTTGCAGAGGGAAGTACTTCTGATAAAAAATGTAGTAGGGCACACATTTTGACTGTTTACTAGCTTTTGGTACATCAGTGTAGTGTGTCATACTTGTTTAGAAATTTTGCATTTGTAACAGTTAACTCTTATGTAAAATGCATTGCACCTTTAATGGATAACTAATCAAGATTTTTTCTGATGTGACTGTATACATTGCCTGGAAATACTAATTTATTCCAGTCCACTAGGTTAGATAGGTATCCTAAGCATAATATATAAATGTAAGCAATATGTTGCTATTCCACCATACTTTATGATTATAGGTTAAATGAAAATAGTTGGGGTAAAATTTGAAAACACCTAGCATTTTCCATGCTGTATTATTACTTTATAGGCAAATGACTTTTTTCTTAATGAGACTTCAAATATCAATTTTGTTTTCACAATAGAAAAACAGGTATTCCTGTACTTTGTATTCACCATTCTAGTGTGAATGGACTTTTCTTTCTTTCCTCCTGTTAATGAAGTAGATGAACCAATAGGGTTTTCTTTTTTAATCTTCACTTGTACAATTCCCATTGGATCCTTCTCTTCAGATTACTCCTCATTCTTTATCTTATAAAAGTAAGGTTAGAAGAACAAATTCCTTTGGACATGTGACCTCTTGGTGTAGTGGATTTTGTTAATGACTAAAAGAGGAAGGGACACAGAGTCGCTTGGTTACATGACTCTTCGTCTGTAAACTTTTGCTTCTCAGGCTTCTGGGTCAGAATATGTTTCTCTAGGTAAGAATGTGAATGGAACGTCAGATGTAATTCTTTATCTGAAGTGTGTCTTGGAAGTTGATGCATGGTTATGCTTTAACTCTCCTATTTCATACTAATGTTCCATCTCGCCTTCTCATTCCCTTTTTCAACAGGGAGAAATCATAAGTGATTTCTGGATCTTTTTTATTTCCAACTTCAAACTTCAAATATGGTCTTCTTTGTGTTTCTTAGTTTTAAGCCAGGCTTTAGTAAAATAAAGATTTCTTTTAAGGTCTTTTCATGGGAAAATATCAATTAGGAACTCTGAAGAGGAGTTGTCAGAGAGTTGTACAAGTGGTAATATTTTGACAGGCACATATGTTGTTTATGATCTCAACTAATTTTGAATTGTAAAAATAAAAATAGCTAATATACATATTTGTTCTACTGGAAATAAAAATACTAATTGACTGGATTTGAGTTCATGTAATAATTTACAAAGTTTTCCAATGTGTTTATTAAGAGTGGACATGTAAATTTAGTTATATTCTGGGAATTTTTAGGTAAAAATTATTAGATAGAAAACATGTAAATTTTGTATGAACTCATTCTTTATTTTTGGATATTATGCTAATATTTCTTGATTTCACAAATTTGCAGCATATGAGTGATTTTGGAAGCATTCATAGACCTGGAATTGTTGTTGACTATCAAAATAAATCCGCCAATGTGACAGTTGCTGCTACAAGAGGAATAAAGAGAAAAATGATGCAACAATTTAATAAGCCCAGTGGAACCTTCATCAAGAAACCCAAGCTAGCAAAACCTGTGGAGAAGATGAGCCTCAGCAAATCACCTAGTAAGTAAGAAAATACAATTGCTGTGGATACTTTTTACCTTTTTTAATTCAGTGCTTTTAGATAATTTTTCATGTTTATATAGACAAGCTGCATTGTAATTATAGTGGTTAGGTTCGTGAAACCCCTAGTGCAATTATTGCGGTTATTAGTAATGAACATCAAAATTATCAAGATACTATTTATTTATTTTTAAAATTTTTATACTTTATTTCTTTTAAAAAATGTTTTTATTGATTTTAGAGAGAGAGGAAAGGAGGAGAGAGAGAAACATCAATGTGAGAGAGAAACATTGATTGGTTGCATCCCACATGCACCCCAACTGGGAATCGAACCCACAACCTGGGTACGTGCTCTGACCTGGAATCGAACCAGTCAGTGCCCTTTCAGTGCACTGGGCGACGCTTAACCAATTGAGCCACACTGGCCAGGGCACAAGATACTTTTTAAGTTCACATGCCCTGATCTATTCCTCTTCCCTAAATTCTGGTTTAGGGTGTAGTCAAAATATTTATATTTTTAAAATGGACTCACACATGATTTTGAGTCAAGCTGCTGGGTGTTACAGTGTATTTATTGTTTGAGGTATTGTTGAGGAAGTGTTATGTTATATTACATAGAATGCTCTTTATGAGGACAAAGGGAAGAAATGTTTCACGGTCGTAGGTACCAGGAAAATCTATACTTCTTCTAGAAAATTAATTTGCTTTTAATCTTCTGGACATAATGACTTCTTTTGGGTTGTGGTTAATCCTCACCTGAGAATATATTTTCCATTGATTTTTAGAGAGAGTGGAAGGGAAGAAGAGTAAGAGGGAGAGAGAGAGTTATGAGACATACCAATCAGTTGCCTCCTGTATGAACCCTGACAAGTGCTGGGCTTAAACCTGCAACCCAGGTACATGCCCTTGACTGGGGATCAAACCTTCAACCCTTTGGTGCATGGGCCAACACTCTAACCACCGAACAACACTGTCCAGGATGCTCCTCTCTCCCCCTTTTTAACAATATTTGATAATAGTGTAGTATAGCTAAGAATGAAGCCAAAATTCCATAGCCAGTTCATCCTTTTATTGTTAGGCATGAGGTAGGCATTTTGAAAAGTAAGCAAAATATTCTGGAATAAGGTCTTGTAGTATAGGCTATATGATTTGTTGAAAAGCATTAGAAGGAACCATATTCAGTCATTTTGCTGGAGGTACAATATACTAATATATCATAGCTTTAGCATATGAAAGGGAAACCCAATTACTTCTAGTTTGAGGTTATATACTTGTAGATTTTCCATAGAGTTTTAGGGAAATCCAATGGGAATATGGAAATGGTTGATTAATAAGGATATACATTTAAGCTCTTATAAAATGATGAAAAGTAATCTAGATATTGAGTTTTAAGGTGTTGATTTTATATAATTTTGAAACATTCCACTGTATACATAGCAAATGCTGCCTAAATATTTGTTTACTGTCAAGTTTATGAATCCCTGGGTATTCATGATTTTATATTAGGTATTTTTACAAACAATCTAAAAGGAAAACAATGCATAAAAGGAAAACTTTAAGGGCAGATTAGTTTTTTTAAGTCTAAAGTTAAATGTATTATATGAAAGAAGTTGCTCACAGTGAGATACCACTACACACCATGTGAAGTTGATGGACATAATAAAAACAAAGTGTTGGCAAGGAGTGGAAAAATTGGGACCCTCACACATTACTGTTGGGAATATAAAATGGTGCAGCTGCTGTGGGAAACATTTTGATAGTTCTTTGAATGAATAAATATAGACTGACCATGTCACCCAGCAATTCTACTCCTGGGTATATACTTCAAAGAATTGAAGAGAAGTATTCAAACAAAAGCTTGTACATAAATTTTCATAGCAGCATTATTCATAGTAGCCAAAAGGTGGAAACAATGCAGTTGTTAATTAAAAAATGAATGGATGAAAGAAAATGTGATCTGTTTACACAATGGAATGTTATTCAGCTATTAAAAAGGAAGTAGGTACAGATATATCGTACAATATGTGAATGAACCTTGAAAACACTATGCTAAATAAAAGAATCCAGACAAAAAAGCCACATATTATATGATTCTATTTATGTGAAATATCCAGAACAGAGAAATCTATGGAGACAGAGAGCGGATTAGTAGTTACCAAGGGGTTGGGGAAAGTGAAATTTAGGAGTGACCACTATGGACTTTCCATTTGGGGTGATAAAATTTGAAACTAAGTAGTGATGACGGTTGCATAACATTGTGCTGTACTTACTGTCACTGAATTGTTCACTTGCAAATGGTTAAAATGGTAAATTTTGTACCAGGTATTTTATTACTTTACTAGAGGTCAGGTGCACGAAATTCGTGCACAGGAAGGGGGGGGGGGCACGGTGTTGTCCCTCAGCCCGGCCTGCACCCTCTCCAATCTGGGACATCCCTCTCACAATCCGGGACTGCTGGCTCCTAACCGCTCGCCTGTCTGATTACCCCTAACCACTCCCCTGCCAGCCTGATTGATGCCTAACTGCTCCCCTGCCAGCCTAATCCCTCCCAACTGCCCTCCCCTGCCGGCCTGATCGCCCACAACTGCCCTCCCCGGCCATCTTGTGGTGGCCATCTTGTGACGCCGCTGCGTGACGCCACCTAGGCTTTTATTATATAGGATTATATTTGCATTAAAATGCTTTCTTAAAAAGAGGAAGAAACTGCTTTTATATAGAGTTCACACATTTTGAGAAATTTTGGGGAAGCACCTATAATATATATGAGTTTTTGTGTCCACAGCTCTCTAGTTTTCATTTAATTCCATTTTAATGCAGGGTCAGTTTACTTCAGTGTTTCTTAAAGTGGTATTCAAGATGATTTGAGGTCAAGCAGTATTCAACCCATAAACCAATTAATAAAATTTTGTGACACACCAAGATATATATTATACTTTTTCCTGATCTGACCAAAAAATAGGTATAATTTTGATTCATACACACCAGATGGCTATTGTTGTGTTGTTTGTTGTCATGTTTTAAATTTGACAAAGGAAAAAGAAGTCAGTGCCTCTGACTAAATAGTCAGGTATTGCATGTTTTAAAAATTCTTGTGACACACCACTTAAAAATTGCTGTTTTAGGTGATAGTGATTTTATTGCTTAAAATGAGAATAAGGCAAAATGAACAGATTTAGAGAAAAAAATATAAGAAAAATATATAGCAAAGACTCCCATAGATGAAAAGTAAATATGACAAAATTCGTGATGATTTTATATACTGGGTAATCTTGAACTCTGATTTTTTTTTTTGGGGAAATCCAAATTTAATCCGCTATCACAAAGTAAACTTTGTATGTCTGTACTTTATAAACTGGGACTGGAAAGGAAGAATGGAAATCTATAGTCTGAATATTTTTGTCTGATATCCTAGCAAAAATTGATCCAAAAAATGAAGAAGAAGAAGAAAAGCGGCGAATTGAGGCTCGGCGAGAGAAACAAAGGCGCAGAAGGGAAAAAAACAGTGAGAAATATGGAGATGGATACAGGTTTGTGCTTAGTAGTCAGAAAATTGGGCTCATTATAGAACCATTTTCTAGAAAGATTAATTGGAATTAATTGGCAATTAATTGGAATGCAAACAGTTCCTGAGCATCAAATGAAAAGTTTTGATCAAAGATATATAGGAATGTTTTTGACTTTTGATACTTATATACAATTACCACTTAGAAAGATAGGGGAAAAGTCCTATTCAGTAATGATAATTGTTTCATAATGTTCAGAAATACAGTACTCTTAATAAGAAATATATGTCATAATATGAGGAAAACCACAAAGTCTTTGATATTTTACTATATAGAGACATAGTGATTATATATATATATATATATATATATATATATATATATATATATATATATAATTTTCCTACCCAAGGATATGTTTATTGATTTTAGAGAGAGAGGAAGGAATTGAGAGAGAGGGAGAGAAAGAGAAAGAACCATCAACTGGCTGCCTCCTGTACATGCCCTGACTGGGAATTGAACCCACAACCTTTTGGTGTATGGAATGATGCTCCAACCAACTGAGCCACCTGGACAAGGCCATAGTGATATTCTTGGATAGGAAAACTAAATTTTACAAAAATAATAGTAAATGAGTAGATACTAGCTTTTCTAGATACTGAAACAGAAAGCTGTACTAGAAAAAGGTAATTGGTATAACTGAATTACTAGCTTGTAAGCAGATGTGTTATATGTAAGAATGTAATCTATACTAATAAAAGGGTAATATACTAATTAGACCGGACATCCTTTTGGACAAAGCCAAGGTGGCAGGGGCTGAGGCAGAGGTGGTTAGGGGCGATCAGGCTGGCAGGGGGGAGCAGTTAAGAGGAGATCAGGCCGGCAGGGGGGAGCAGTTAGGGGGTGATCAGGCTCGCAGGGAGCAGTTAGAGGTGATCAGGCAGGCAGTCAGAGGTGGTAGGGGCCATCAGGCAGACAGGCAGGCAAGTGGTTAGGTGGCAGCGGTCACGGATTGCGAAAGGGATGTCCAACTGCTGGTTTAGGCTGGATCGGATCCAGCCAGAACCGGCAGTTGGACATCCCCTGAGGGGTCCCGGATTGGAGAGTGTGCAGGAGGCTGGGCTGAGGGACATCCCCACCACCCCCCTACCCCCACACGAATTCATGAATTTCGTGCACTAGGCCTCTAGTGTATAATAAAGAAGATAACTGCAAATGAAACTACTTGAACAATAACAAGAAAAATAGTTTAGATCCTCTTCTTACACCAGCAAGGATGAATCCAGATTAATTAATAAACCTAAAAAAAAAGGAAAATAACAGGGAACTAAAATGGAACATTTTAATCCCTGCAAGAAAATTTTGTTTTCTAGGCTTAAAAGTTCTACAATAAATTACAAAGGGAATAATGACCAGATTTGTTTAGATACAAATTGAAAACTTGAAAGGAAAGCAAACAAACTTGGAAAATATTATAAACATGAAAAATGATTAATGTTTAAGTTAGATAAATATCACCGAATCAGAATTTTTAAAAAAATAAGGAAACAAGATGCCTAATACATAATTTGGTGAAAGAACAACAGCTATGTAATAATTCTAGGGCAAATAAACTGAAAATTATAGCATAGCATTTTATTAGCTAGGAGGAAAAATTATTGATTAACTAACTGGGATACAGACAAAAGACATAATTTTCTGGTGACTTTATAACATAACTACTGGGAAGCAGTTTATCAGTTTTTAGAAATGTCTTGAATTTTTTATACTTTTTATCTCTCAAAGAAAATAACCTAAAAATGTAGAAGAGTCTAATCTGAAAATATGCCCATTACAGCATTATTTATAATAATAATTATTTATAATAGCTCCAAAACATTATTTAAATAGCAATAGAGTGTGAGCAATCATATATAAGGTTAGACACATCCCTTCTTGGCTCTTATGCCTTTGGTTATAAAGCCTGAAACAATATGCAGAAAATGCAGGCACAATAGAAAAATACAGGTGGGGCAAAAGTAGGTTTACAGTTGTTCATATGGAAAATAATACCATAATTTGTGAATAATAATACAAGAATAAATTGTTTCATGTACTCACAACTGTAACCTATTTTGCCCCACCCTATATATATGCAAGATGTAAAGTTATGCATAGGAAAAAAAAAGAGACTACTAGGAAGTTTTGTTAAAAAGACAGTATTGATATTTATCTTTTTCCCTCTATAATCTGCCCAGGTACTACTTATGCTAGGGAAATAAATAATATAAAATTGAAAAAGTAAATTCAGTGTTTTTCCCATTCAAAATACAGTTTTGCTCTATAAAGGTTAACTTGTATGTGTAGCATGAAGGGAATGAAATATTTCGGCTAACTGAATTTTCTAGATGTCTAAAACTATACAAAAGATAACATTTTAAGAGAATCTGAAAACCCTTTTAAGGAGGTATTTTTAAAATGTATGAGTTTTCTTCCATATTAAACAGGATACTTTGTTATTACTTGGTTTTAATATATACATTGGTTTTATTTATGTAAAATGTAGTAAAAGAAAATTCAGTTGCATCCAATTCCCAGATTTGTTGTTTGATACTAGTCGGTAAGGTATTACTTGTGTAATCTTTGTGTCCAGCTTTAATAACATTTAACTGTGTTCTTTCTGGTTTGTTACTTCTAATTTGTTGGGACCTAAGAAACAATGTAATTAAACTTATTAAGAATTAACTCATAAAAAGAAATGTTAAGGGGCAGCTACCCCTTGTGGTCCTTGGGAATATCTCCCACTCTGATATTATTCTTTTGGCAAGGATAATGGATGCAGTTACTTTGGTGCAGAAATAAATTAAAATGAATGTTTTGTATCAAATGTTTATGAGTTCAAAGATGATTTTATATTATAGGATTAATTTTTCTATTTATGAATACTTTATCCAATAAAATTATAGGTTTGGATATGATGTATCCATGTTAAAATAATATATATTGTGATTTGGAGAAAATAAATGAGCTTTCATCTAGCTGTTTTTTCCATAATTCTGAATATAAACCTGATGACATAACTAAAAGAGTATTATTAGTTCAATTAAATTGTCATTTTTGGATAAGTATCTTTTTAAATAGTCTAAAAATTATTTCAATTTATCAGAACAGTTTTACTTTGAGTTAGGATAAGAGATTGACAGAAAATAATTATTCTTGTGATATATATATATATATATATATATATATATATATATATATACTTGGATATTTGAGTGTTTTTAATATAATAAAGAGGATGGAAAGGTAAGGAACTGTAGGGAAAGGAATGGGTTTTTGAGAGGTGCAGACAAACAGTATATGGTGAAGAGGGCCAAAGAAAGTACGAAGTAGTCATATAGGGGACTCTACATAGGGGTGCAGGGAAATGCACCAGTGGATTTTAACAGATTTAGGAATGGTGGGGGGGGGGGGTGGGGGGTGACAATAGGAGTTGTTAGGCAGCTCAGGTAGAGGTCATGGTTTGAGGTAAAAAAGTAAAGAAACAGGAATGTTTCCTTTATATTCAGGAAATGGAAAGCTATTTAGATCAAAAAAGACTGTAGTGGGGTGAAAGGTATAAGCTAATTAAAACATTTAATGAAGAATACTATGTTCCAGATACTGTTAAAGCTATTATTGGGTGAAGCCAAATAGAGAGATAGGAGAGACCAGGTGCTGTTCTAAATGGCAGCTGAAAGGATTTTAACTTTTTTTTTTTAGCCATAAGGAGCCAATGAAGCTTTTTGAGCAGTAATGTGCTATTGCCTCCTTTAGGAAGTAACAATAATCTATATATATAAAAGCCTAAGCGACTGTTCGACCGGTTGCTATGATGTGCACTGACCACCAGGGGGCAGACGCTCAACGCATGAGCTGTTCCCTGGTGGTCTGTGCGCTCCCACAGCGAGAGTGCCACAGACGCTGGCTCATGGCTGGCGAGTGCAGCTATGGCAGCGCAAGCCTCTCCTGCAGACACTTCCCCTATGCTTTCTCCATCTGGACCGGGATTGGGACCAGCATCGGGACTGACTGGGCATGAGCCCGCGGCCGCTTCTCGGTCATGGGCACGCCAGTATTGCCCTAGGACAGGTGCATGGAGACCCTACTGAGCCTACCAAGTGGCGGCGTGGCAGCAGGCGCAGTGGGGCCTGGATGAGTGGGAGCAGTGTGGCGCCAGGCCAGGGCTTGGGCTTCTCCCCGGCCGGTCGCCTGTGTGCACTACTACATCCCTTGAGGGATGTTGGACTGTGAGTTGTGGCCCGATCCCTGCAGGCCAGGCTGAGGGACCCCACCAGTACACGAATCTGCACCGGGCCTCTAGTTAATTGAATAATTACTGTGTGCCAGGAACTGTTCTAAGGGCTTTATATGTATTAATTTTTTAAATCCTGGTTTCATTAAGATAAGAAAATTAAGGCCCAGAGGAAGTTAATTGTCCAAGGTCACACAAGGGGGCTAGGATCTCAACCCAAAAGTTGGCTCCAGATCCCATACTCTACCAGGAAAATAAATCTAATAGTAGTGTAAGGAATTAGTTGGAAAATGGAGGCTGGAGACAAAGAAACCAGTTAGGAAATGGTGGTTATAATTGTAGGAAAAGGAAATGAAAATATGTAAGATAGGAGCAATTAAATGGGAGAAAATGAGGGAATTCATTCTGGGATGGTTCCAGAGCTTGTAAATGCATGCATTTGTTCAGACCAGGACTGTTAGTTATCCTGAAGTGGTCTTTAGGGAACAGGACTTTGGTCATCCAGAGCTCCAAGGGAGTGAATTATGGTTGTCTGATGTCCCACCTGGCTGTGTTGATACTACTTTAGTGGTTTGGAAACTGGAGGATGGAACAGAGTGTAAAACAAGTAGTGGAACTTTGGAAATTGATACTTGTCACGGTTTGCTTTGGCTTTCTAACTGGTCTAGGCTAGAAATAGAGAGTTTGGGATTAGATGAAGTAGATATAGATATTCCATCTCTCATACTCAGAAGCTCCAGGATCGGTCAGAAATGCAAAGTAGTATAATGACAGTGTTGTCCAAATAGGTGCTTAACGAAATATTTTTTTTTTCTGACTTAAGCTAAATTTACATCACCCATAAAATGGAAGAAAGGAAAATCATGCTACTAAAATTAGTTTCATTGTTATCTTTATATGCACTCTGTAAGTAAATAAAGTAATATATAAAGAAATACTTTTTTTCCCTTATAGAATGGCATTCACATGTTCATTTTGTAAATTTCGAACGTTTGAAGAAAAAGATATTGAACTGCATCTGGAAAGTTCTTCACACCAGGAAACATTAGATCATATTCAGAAACAAACTAAATTTGATAAAGTAGTTATGGAGTTTTTGCATGTAAGTAGCTGTTTTTAAAGTGAAAAGCACTTTATCTGAAATTTCAATTTCTTATTTTTTGTAATTCTCCATTTCCCGTATTATGTTTCTAAAATTTTAATTTGTTATTTTAAAATGAACTTGCAATTAGATGTGAATTCCTCTTGTATAATATAATTTAGATTTGTTATTTGAGGGGACATTTTATGTTTCTTACAGTAATTTCTGGTACAGGTGTCAGGAAAAGAATTCCTTTAACAACTTTATTGATGCAGAATCAGCTATCCATCGAGGGGGTCTGTGTATGTGGTGTTGTGCTGAGTACTCTGGTATTTTATTTGAGCCTCAGAACAACTCCTATTTTATCATGGAAGATCATGCTCAGAACAGTTTAGTGACTCAGTAGTGGAGTCTGAATTCAGAACCAGAGAGTCAGGTGTCTGTTTAGTGTCCTTTGTATTATGAGTGTGTGGTCATCAGTTCAACAATTTTTCTTGAATATTTATGAAATGTGCTGTGTAGGCACGGAAGATTCAGACAGTACCCTCATTGAACAGACAACAGTTGGAAATAGAACACACTCATACACAGATGACACAGTTAAGTGGGAGGGCCAAGAATGATAGTATGTGCAGAAGGGGTTTTTGGAGTAAGGAAGGATAGTTGGGTTCAGGGATGCTTAAGGAAGGTGCTAGAGCTGGACTGCTAATTGTGCATACAGTTAATTTGGGCAGAAGAGATGGATTTGTTAGAAGGCTAGAAATACAATGATCATTCACTCCTCTATATCCTCGCAGAATTGTGTCCCTGCGAATCATTGATCAGCTGCCTCCTGCACATCCCCTACTGGGGATCAAACCTGCAACTGGGGCATGTGCCCTAACCGGGAATCTTAACTGTCACCTCCTGGTTCGTAGGTTGATGCTCAATCACTGAGTCACACTGGCCAGGGCAGAGAAGACCTTGACTAGTCTACTCTCTTTGATTTCTCTTACTCTATCTGCCTAAAATATGTTTTGAAAAGTGAATACTTTTTGTAGTTTATTGGTACATTATGATAGTCTTTTCAACTAAATTGTAAGCTTCTTGAGAACAGATAGTAGTTCTTATATAACACATACTGTTTCATAGGCCAAGTATGGTACTGAGCATATGCTAAATGCTCACTGATAATTTTTTGGATTCTTCCTATTTTGTTTTCTAGGAATGTATGGTGAATAAATTCAAGAAAACATCTATTCGTAAGCAACAGACAAATAATCAAACAGAAGTAGTCAAAATAATTGAAAAAGATGTTATGGAAGGTAAGTAAACAAATTGTTTTCGAAAATTTACATGTATATTTTATGCTGTAACCTATTTCTATGTAAAGATGCCCACTAGAGTGATACAGTACATAGTTATATTTGGTAGCACTGAGTGGGTTATAAGAAATGAACTTTGACTTCTTGTTCTCATGTTTACAAATTTATCACTTCCTACACTTGTGGCCTTCACTTCAGTTTTAGAGGAAAAATCAACTTTACCTCTGGATGGAAGTTCTTCTACCATCTGTCCTGTCTTTCTTATCCCTATCATTTCCTTAATGACTTTTCCTCTTCTGTTTTTCCCTCTTCTCTTTTAATTCCCTCCCTTGAAGCCTATTCTTATCTTAAAAATAAAAAAACCCCAAAGGAACAGAGGAAAATGAAAATGGACATCTGTTCACCTAAAACCCGCCTTTCTCTCTAAACAGCCAAGCTTCGTTAGGCATAGTCCACCCTGGTCTCTGTTTCTTCACTTCCCATTTATTGCTTTACCTATAGTAGATAATTTTCTGCTACCATTAGTTGACTGAAACTGCCCTGGCAAAGGTTACCAACACCAACTGCAATAGATTCTTTTGAATCATTATCTTACTTCTGCAACATTTTTCACTGATAACTTTATTCTCTATGAACCCATTTCCTCCTTTGGTTTTTCTGGTATCTCACTGCCCTGATGTTCTCTGTATTCCCTTGTCATTTTTCATTTTGTGTGCTTTTCTTTCTGTATCAGACTTTTAGAAGTCAGTATTTCCCAAAATTCAGTCATTTGTCCCATTATTATCTCTCTATATTTCTTCCTGTATTATTTACAGAGCTTAAGTTAACACTTTTGTTAATTACTTATGCATCTATAGCACAGATCTCTCTTTTGAACTCTAACGTTATACATCCAAGTGCCTATTCACATCTCTCTTCAGCAGTTCCCCAAAATCAACATATCCAAAAAACTCTGTCCTATCTTTGAGCATCCTCCAGCCCATGAAGAAAACAAAACAAATACTCTACAAGTACCTCCTTCATTATGTTGGAAAGTGGCCCTACCATCAAAGCCAGAAGTATGAAGTTAAAACCTGAGTACTTACTGTGATTTGACTCTATTTGTAGCATTGTGTCCTTTAGGTTCCATCTTTTAAATGTCTACCAAGTCTGTTTATCTCCTCTTTAAGTAATGCATTTGTTCAAACCTTTGTGTGCTCTTTTGACAATTGTAGTATTTTGCTAACTAGTTTTCTTCCAGTCTTTCTGAACTCTAATTCTACTATATTGCATCATTACTTCAAGAATTTTCAGTGGTTCCCCCCATTCAGAATAAAGTTCAAATTCCTAGGCATGGCACAAAAGGCTCTCCATGGTCTAGGCCAGTGGTCAGCAAACTCATTAGTCAACAGAGCCAAATATCAGCAGTACAATGATTGAAATTTCTTTTGAGAGACAAATTTTTTAAACTTAAACTATATAGGTAGGTACATTGTTAATAACTTAATTAGGGTACTCCTAAGCTGGCCTTTGCTAAAAATGTCCTCAATCTGATTGAGGTACATTCGCTGAGGTAGACCCCTTCCAACTCTCCCATCCACACTTGTCTTGTATACTTGTTTCGCCCAGGCCAAAACCAACTTCTGCACATGGGCCACGAAGTTTCAATCACACTGTACGTGCGCGCCCGCACATGGTATTTTG